AAAAAAATCGGATCTGTGTAGTTTAGACAGCCATGAAAAGATCAGATCCAGGTCGCATATGGGACAAAAAATCCGATTTGGGTTACTTCAGGCTGCAGTGTGAACGTAGCCTTTGTTGTGAAGTGCATTTAAGTTATCCAGCAGGACAAATATCAATGGCACACCAGCTAGACCTCTCCTGAATGGCCTGAAAAATACATTACGTTAAACTAAAAACTCTGAGTGGTTAAGTCAGTCTCCTGATTTAAATATCGATGTGGGACCTTAAGGGTACACTGTGTGATAATTACAGGGATTTATTGACATAAATGGTATATCTAATCTATACGCATGTTATTTACCATCACCTGTGAACTGAAAGTCCCAATCTTTATGCTTGGCTTGCCTTAGAAATTGATATTTATAATTACATAGGACACCTTTTGTGCCCCGGCAGCGCAGAGCTGACAAACTAGTGTCTATAGAGATTGCCTTTACGCTCTGCTGCAAGTAAGGCCATTATACAATCCTACATAAACTGATAAAATACTATTTAGTATAATAGTAATGTGACCAAAGGGGAGCAAATATCAGTGATAATTCTTCCGAACGGTCAGTTAACTGAGTTCACTATAAAGTGCACTATGCAGTCCCCACACTATGAAGTGATTGAGGGTTAGGGCACACGCTCGGGCACAGTAAGCCTGTACGAGCCATGAGGACAGCAACTTTTAAACAGAGCGTGCACAAGGAGAAATGTGCTTGTGCACGCTCTCGCACGCGTTTCATAGGCCTTCCCTCTCGGAAGCGGGTACAGAGTTGTGCGTGTGCATTTTTTTTTTGTGGAGAGGTGGTCTTTTAAAAAAATTACAAAAATCCTCCACAATACCTTTAAAACAGCTTTTTGTAAAAGCTAAATGCTGTAATGTAATATAAGTAAAGAAGAGGTTGCAGAAGCCATTTTGTACCATGACACCTACAATGTGGGGCAAGTCCTTTGTAAAATATCCTACATGCGGGGGACTTATAGTTACATATGGGGACATTCAAATAAGTCTGTAAGGAGGGGGGGGGGGACCTTTACAGAGTTCTAACTGTAAGCCCCTCCTCACTTCACTGCTACTCACCATCTTGGCTCTAGTGACTCAGGAGTCAAAAACTATGGATTAACTTCTGCACAATATTCCCAGAAATGGTCTTAATATTAGCCTCATGAGCATGGGCGTAGGTTTGCATAGGGATTATAGGGAAATGTCCCTGTCAAAATTTTGGACTGATCTATTTGTCCCTACCAATTATTCAATGTGAATAACATGTTTATAATGTACAACACAGTGTTGTTGCAACAGTCTCTTTTCCTCTTGTAGCTTTGCTGCCTGGTAGCTGCAGCTCCGTCTGAGTGCCTGCACGCTCTATCCTTTCCCTTTAAATTATCAGCATACATTACTCCACTCTTTTTCCAATGAAATTAAACCAGATGACACAGAGATGTTTCCTCTTGAGGAGTTCTGGATGGAGAATATTGACAGATGAAAACATCTTTTTAATCTTAAATGAAAATTCTTTATATATATATATATTTTTTTACAATTTTGATATAATTTCTGCCATAAGTGGGTTGCTCTGTCATCATAAAGCATGTCTTAGAGTCTCTATACTTCAGTTAGCGATTAATCGATTGCTAAATTTGTTGAAGAATATGTCAGTAATGAATTCATCACAATTAATCCAGTTGTTTCAGCCTGAAATAGGCTAAAGAGAGTAACTACAGCCCAGAGGTACAACTTGTATAATGAAGTTAATATTTTAAATGCTCAGTCAGTTCCTCTTCTAGTTCCCATGCACATGTAAATACAATACATTTATTTGCCGTCCCATGAATGTATTATTTTGCTTTGTTTCGAGATACAAAGAGAGCATATAAAAGATAAAAGTGGGTTTTATCTCTGCACTATTTTATATCTACAAAAGAAAATACGGGATAAATCCACATATGACATTTTAGACTATAATTGGTAAAATAGGCAAGTATTTTCCTACTGCCTTTGTTGCTGGTGATTTCAAAAACAAATTTCCACATTCAGAGCCGGTGATGCTTTAGCATTGGTAAACAGCATCTAGTGTGGAGTGCTTATAAAATCTGTATACATATAGTGACATTCTTTTTTGCATAGGACCAATGAAACTTAAGATATAGTGTCCCTACCAAAGTTGAAATCAAACCTACGCCCTTGCTCATGAGTAAAAGGGAGTCTGCTCTAACTGGAACCCTGAAACTCAGCAAAAGGTTCCAGCAACACCATCCTCATCTGTCCCACAGGAACGGTCCCTGAGGTAACCTGAGTGGAGCACATCTCATCTCCAGGAGAAAAATATGTATCTGACTAAGGCTTAAATTCACCTAGTAGGGCAGCATCAGTATAAGAAACACTGATTCATGTATGAGTCAGGATGCTGACTCATACTGATCCTCTATTCTTGCCATTTACCTCATATCACCTATCCCATAGAAAACACTCTCTCCTTTGAAGTATGGATTCAATATTAATTAAGGTATGATAGTATTAACAGTGTAGTCCATGCTTCTGCAAAGATGGACCCAGTGTGCTGAGCGCAGCGGTGGGTGTGGGGCAACTCTGCATCTCAGCTGATCCACTGCCAGCTCAGACAGGTCTCAACTGGCTCCTCCATCCACCTCTAAGACCCGGCAAATCAAAACAACTTACATCATCTCCTAGAAAGAAGACAGGGCTAAGAGAATGCAATATCTGATATATAGGTGCTGGTCATAAAATTAGAATATCATGAAAAAGTAGATTTGATTTCAGTAATTCCATTTAAAAAGTGAAACTTGTATATTATATTCATACATTACATACAAACTCATATATTTCAGATGTTTATTTTGTTTAATTTTGATGATTACAAATGACAACAAATGAAAATCTCAAATTCATCATATCAGAAAATTAGAATATTGTGAAAAGGTTCAAAATTGATGGCCCCTGGTGCCACACTCTAATCAGCTAATTAACTCAAACCACCTGCAAAAGCCTTTAAATGGTCTTTCAGTCTAGTTCTATAGGCTACACAATCATGGGGAAGACTGCTGACTTGACAGTTGTCCAAAAGACGACCATCGACACCTTGCACAAGGAGGGCAAGACACAAAAGGTCATCGCTAAAGAGGCTGGCTGTTCACAGAGCTCAGTGTCCAAGCACATTAATAGAGAGGCGAAGGGAAGGAAAAGATGTGGTCGAAAAAAGTGTACAAGCAAGAGAGATAACCGCACCCTGGAGAGGATTGTGAAACAAAACCCATTCAAAAATGTGGGGGAGATTCACAAAGAGTGGACTGCAGCTGGAGTGAGTGCTTCAAGAACCACCACACACAGACGTATGAAAGACATGGGTTTCTGCTGTCGCATTCCTTGTGTCAAGCCACTCTTGAACCACAGACAGCGTCAGAAGCGTCTTGCCTGGGCTAAAGAGAAACAGGACTGGACTGCTGGTGAGTGGTCCAAAGTCATGTTCTCTGATGAAAGTAAATTTTGCATTTCCTTTGGAAATCAAGGTCCCAGAGTCTGGAGGAAAAGAAGAGAGGCACTTCATCCACGTTGCTTGAAGTCCAGTGTAAAGTTTCCACAGTCAGTGATGGTTTGGGGTGCCATGTCATCTGCTGGTGTTGGTCCATTGTGTTTTCTGAGGTCCAGGGTCAACGCAGCCACATACCAGGAAGTTTTAGAGCACTTCATGCTTCCTGCAGCTGACCAACTTTTTGGAGATGCAGATTTCATTTTCCAACAGAACTTGGCACCTGCACACAGTGCCAAAGCTACCAGTACCTGGTTGAAGGACCATGGTATCCCTGTTCTTAATTGGCCAGCAAACTCTCCTGACCTTAACCCCATAGAAAATCTATGGGGTATTGTGAAGAAGAAGATGCAATACACCAGACCCAACAATTCAGAAGAGCTAAAAGCCACTATTAGAGCAACCTGGGCTATCATAACACCTGAGCAGTGCCACAGACTGATCGACTCCATGCCACGCCGCATTGCTGCAGTAATACAGGCCAAAGGAGGCCCAACTAAATACTGAGTGCTGTACATGCTCATACTTTTCATGTTCATACTTTTCAGTTGGCCAACATTTCTATAAATCCTTTGTTTTTATTGGTCTTCAGTAATATTCTAATTTTCTGATATGATGAATTTGAGATTTTCATTTGTTGTCATTTGTAATCATCAAAATTAAACAAAATAAACATCTGAAATATATGAGTTTGTATGTAATGTATGAATATAATATACAAGTTTCACTTTTTAAATGGAATTACTGAAATCAATCTACTTTTTCATGATATTCTAATTTTATGACCAGCACCTGTAAAAGTTCTGCATTTTAACCACCTCCTCTAACATTTTCCTCCATCAGCTCAATGAAAGCAATTTAGAGGTGGATTAATCTCTTAAATCAATAACCTCTGAGAGTGGGAAAAAATGTGCTTTGATCACCACAGGCTGTAAAATAAACTTTGGATCAATGTAAGTAGAAATATTGTATTGTTAAGGATACTGAGTGCACAGTAGAGAGGATTTAAAACACCCACACACCATCCAGCCCTTTCTGGATCAATTCCAGTCATGTGAGCGGCGAGGATCCAATGTTTTCCAGCCAACACTGCCACCGTGTGGCCATCTATAGCCACTGCAACACAAAAGCCCGCTTATCTTCCAGCATGTGTTCAGAAGGCAAATCTCAAGACAACACTGCCATCTTGTGGTAATTTCGAATCACTGCAATACTAAGTAATACCCTCACTACATTTATATTTTGAAATTTGTTCTTTAAACTTGCTCAATTGAAAATAAAGAGCTAATATTAACATTTAAATCATGAAGAACTGAACATAACTCACTTTTATTGAAAACTTTCACTATTAAAAACAACAAATGAAAAGTTGCACATAGAATAAAATGTCCCGTCTCCATCTTATTTCACTGCTGAAAGTAAAGTTTTGAAAGCAGGTGGCATCTTAAGTGCATGTGGTCGAAGTAAAAAAAAAAAAAAAAAAAAACATAATGAGGTTCAGTTAGTCCATACTGCTCCCATTGTGACATTAGAGCTCCCCATGTGGCTCCGTAGTTGCCTGCGGTTCTTCAGACTCTTCTGCTGGATCTAAGGTCAAAGGAAGCATGGTAGAATAGTGAAACAATTCCTCTCTACACGCACTGATGTCTGTGCTTTGTTTAACTGGGTACTTAATGCATTCAGCCTCACCGTTCTGTTGGATGCACTCTCCATCCTTCTCCTCATAGCCACTGGAGCAGATGCAGCTGAAGCTACCTTTATTGTTGACACACTCCTGGTGTTCCTTTGGACACGCAGGCTCAGACTGAGAGCACTCGTCAACATCTAGAAAACAAGTAAACCCAATTCACTTAAAGTAGTAACAAGGGTAAAAATCAGTTCAACAATATACAAAAGGCTGATTCTTGCTTTATCAAAGACTTAAACAAATAATCAATTGATCAAGAAAAATGCATCGCACTGAAAATCTTTCCATCCTACCTGTGCAGGATCCTTCTACATCCTGATAGCCTTCAGCACAAGCCTGGCACTCATCAGAACCAGGTCCACTGCACCCAGCGCAGGCTTTGTCACAAGCTGCAGAATACAATTAAAGACATTTTATTCCACGTTTAGCTGATTTGGAGTGGTAAAAATACCTCGACTCATGCATTAGTCTCCTTTCAGTCTGTGGGAGCTGATGGTACCCTGGATGTCTCCTTACCTTTGCAGGAGTAGGAGCCTTCACTATTAAGGCAGTATTGATCCTCTTTGCATGGTGAAGGCTCTTGGGTGCACTCGTTCACATCTGCAGATCAGTATTAAAAACATTTAAACATACCAGATTAGTCTTTCTTCAGTATAAAATCACACAGCTATATCTGCAGAACAGGATGCATGTCATTGCATCATAAGAAAAAACAAATATTCATACATGCACATCAGTAACAAACATCTTTTTTCTGCAGCTGTAAAAACATTTTAATCCCTGAAAAGTGTGGTGTGCATTTGTATTTAACTCAATAGTTTCAGATGACAGGCTTTGCTGAAAGGGTACAGGCAGTTGCATAGGGCGCCATCTGCTGGACAGGGAGCAAAATTGCAGGAAGAAAAAAAAATGTAAAGGATGTATTATGAAACAATGGATGCCTCTGCTGTTAGGAAGACCACTATCCTTTCCAACTTTGCCCAAACCTAAAATGAAAATATAATAACTTGAGAGATCTTAGCGCACCTTGTTTAACATTACTTTAATTGGACATTGTGTTTCAATGTTTTTAACTTATATATCCAACAACCTTGACCAAAAGGGAACCGAGGAATTTCTTTACAACGGCAGTTTGATACTTTTTAGTTTAGCATTTTATTGCATAGCTTTATGCTGGTTTGTATTATGTACTTCACTCCAATTCCATTTGCATAACATTTGGTTATTGTAATATTCTCAGGATAGGCATCTTTCTAGTTCACTTTTATTCTTTAGAGTATTGCCTTTCAAAGTTAGTCTTAACCTTGATATTTTAGTTTTGCTTTTGATTTTTCATGTTGTTGCTTTTGCACCCATCATATTTGCACACAATTTTAAGTTGTATTTCTATATCTCAAATTCATATTTATTGTTAGACTTCTTAGGCGCACTATAGCTTTGGACACCAATTAACCTCATACTTGACCGGCTACTTCACATACAGTTTGGAGTGTGTTCCACCTACCAACACAGGCTCCTTGGTCCTCCCAGCCCTCCTTACACTCGTCACAGTCCTCGTTGGTTGCTCCAGTGCAGGTCTTACAAGACCTGTGGCACTCTGTGAGAGGATATAACCTCTGAGTCATTAACTAATTCACTTAACCACTTCCCCTCCTGGTCATGTTGCCTTAAAACTTACCCGTACACAAAGAGAAAGTGTCGTTCCTGACTTCGTTGAAATACCCATCGATGCAGTCTAAGCAGAACTCTCCTTTATAGGCGTTGTCGCAGCTGCATTTCCCGTTGCCTCCTCGGGTCCCGTCACCGTCACACGCTCCATTACCATGACACGGCCTCTCAGAGCCTCCTATACAAGCTACAGGACGGGAAATAAAATGAAACGTTTATTTGTAGCGGACACTTTTAGACCTTAATAGCCGAGGAGTTGATCTGGATAGCTCCTTACTGTTGCAGTCAGGTCCAAATGTTCCCTTTGGACAGCAAACCTTGATGGTCTCTATGCAGAACCACTTATGCAGATCGGGATGTTTGGTTTTCCTGCAGAAGGGAAGAGAGGAAATGAAAGTTTAAATGTGTATGAAGATGCAAGCTGAAGTAAAAAGTCAGAAGCATGATGTCTAAAAGAACCCTAGTAGTTTATAAAGCCAGATCATTTTCAAAGCCATGGTTTAAAATCATTGAATGTTTCTCATTTAATGCACTGGTTTCAAAATGTCACCCAACACCTACTTTTTAAACCACCAGGTCTCAAAGTGCTCCTCGTGTTCCTCCACCATACGGTTGCACTCAAAGCTGCTGCTTTCACATAGATGCTCCAGAATCTCCATCAGGCGAATCTCACTGCAGAGAGCAGACATGCATGTAGAAGAAAAGAGGAAAAAGTTGGAAGGTACGACACTGCAGGAAGTTAGAGTTAAGGTTCTGTAATCTGTGGAGTTCTGTACAATCCTGTTTTTTTTCATGCCTTTTTCTTTGCTGTTATCTAAAACAAGGTCAAACTGCTCTATGGCAGGATGACCTGCAGCTCGCAGAGGGCAGGATGATCTGGATCACTCACCTCGTCTCATACTTGGATAGTTTTCTCTCCTCCCAGGCCGTGTTGCCTCCTCCGAAGTTCTGCTTGGCTGTTCTCTCAAAGCCCTAAAAAAAACAGTTGAACAAGTTGTTCCTACTTTAAAAATAGGAGGTGATAAACCTGTGGGATAATAATGCAGCAAGAAAATTATTATATAGAGCTCCACAATTTAGTGCAAATTATGAATTAAGAGGGGAAAAAAAGATAAATGGGTATTTTTCTTATATTAATGCCTCCTGCTGAAATATCAGTTAAGGGTTTTGATGAGGTTGAGTCTACAAAACACTGGGTGTTTTTTTTTTACCCATTCTTTGCTAAATTACTCAGGCAAAGTCAATGTTATGTTTATATAGGATTGCCCTGAAATAAGCTAAATAAAACTTCCCATGAATTCAAACTAGAATCCCCTCCTGTTGCAGAAAAGGATCCCCTCATCATGATGTGGCCAAATCCATGTTTCACTGAGCCTTTTACACCATAGACAGGGTTTTTTTTTTTTTTTTTTTTCATATGTTGCGTTCAAATTTACCCCGGAAAACAGACCTGAGAAGTCGGAGTGAAGAAATTTCATGTCATAGCATATCAAGCCTACAGCTGTTTCTCAACTTTAACAATGACAACAACACCGTTCTATCTTTTATTTTGCTCATATAAGCAATGAAAATGATCCATCCATCCATTTTCCGTCAAGCTTATCCCTGCTGGGATCGTGAGGGGTGCTGGTGCTTATCTCCAGCTGTCAACGGGCAACACAGAGACAAACAGGACTAACAACCATTCACAAACACACTCACACCTAAGGAGAATTTAGAGAAACCAATGAACCTGTTAAAACAATTAAAACAGTTAAAACAGTCATGTTTTTGGACTGTGGGAGGAAGTCGGAGTACCCGGAGAGAACCCACACGTGCACAGGGAGAACATGCAAACTCCATTCACGGGCCGGGAATCGAACCCAGAACCTTTTTCCTGCAAGCCACTGCACAGCTCCCAATGAAAATCAATGATACATAAATGATAAAGGACTGATTCAACAGAAAAGTGGTCAATATAGGAATGTTTTACTGATAATTCTGGTAGAAGCCATCTTGAATACAGAAATAAGTTATTTTTTTTTTCTGTTCTGACTTAATGAGGCATTCCTGTTTGGATTTCAAATTGGAGAAATTTTCAGCTTGCCATACAAACGGAATGGGGTGTTTTTCAATAAAAAAAATACTCAAATAATTGTATTAAGTTTATCTTCTGTTTCATGTGATCTGAATGCCGTTTCCCACATGGTTACAGTTTCCCCTACATCAGAGGTCCGCAAACATTTCAGCCTTTGACCCACAAAATCATATCAGAGTGGAGTCATGATCCAAACAATTTAACTACATAAACATTTCTACAAATTGGTGTAATTATATAATAGATGGCCAGGAAAACCAATATAGTTTTTTTTTATGTAATGTTTTTTTTTTTTTTTTTTACATCTTTAAACATAAATATTTACTGTTTAGATTAATTTTCAAAATGGATCTTAAAGAATCCACTATGGTTGATCAAGGACCTCATATGGGGCCACAACATGACCTTTGACCCTGAGTCTGCTGTGACTTGAATCTTCAAAGGGGCTGAAAACACAAAAACGCCACACTTAACAGATATAATTGTATAAATTCACTTACACCCATCAATCATCTCAAGAAGAAATGTGAGAAACTCAACAGAGAGTGCATATTTTATCAAACTAAAGTATGTTTAGAGGCTGTTTTTGATGATTTCTGACCTTGTTGAAGTTGTCGGTGATCTGCTGGCAAGTGGTACAGGCGGTTTTTAAATCCCTCTTGGCGTGGTTGGATTTGAAGAGTAAAAAAAGAATAAAAGAGCAAGAGAGGAGACGCAGATATGGACCGCAGGAGGACAGCATCTCTCACCCAGACAAACACACACTTTCATGACAGGAACACGCTTTCCTTTCTTTACAAATCGCTCCACACCTAGCTACAAACGGTTAGAAACATTTAAACTAGCTGCTCAGAACATCAAATCAAAGATACCGGTATCTATGCAAAGCGGGCTAAGTAGTATTCTTCTTCTTCTTATGGGATTTTATGGCGGTTGGCAGACTTGTGAATTGTGCATTACCGCCACCAACTGATATGGAGTAAAGCAAGAAAACAGGAAACGATTCACCCCCCCCAAAAAAAAAAAAAAAAAAAAAAAAAAAAAAAAAAAAAAAAAAAAAAAAAAAAAAAAAAAAAAAAAAAAAACCTGTGTAACTTAAACCAACATAATACTAAATCACATTTGCCCATATAATTTTAATTTACTCTAGGTCATCGTAACTCTGCCAGTTTCTGATGATCCCATCGGTCCTCCCATCATACTTCCAACCATCTCCCAGTTCAAATCTTTAATGTCCAGGTATTTTTCTGCAGCCTTCACTATTATTTTGATTTTTTCCGTTTTTTTTGTTGTCTGTGCAGTACAGTTAATCACTTCTACCATGAAAAGAACAAAAATTTGTCTTTTTAACAATAAGTGAGTCTTCATCAATTTTTAGAGATTTCTCTAGAGGTTTGGAATTTGCCGTGTGTTGAACTGTAGGTTTGGGTTTTTCTGACTGAGATGGGATCCTTTTTGCAGCTTCAGCGTAGGTTATTCCGAGCTCAAATTTCATTTTTTTAATTTCCTCAGACCTTTTGCTTGCTTCACAGCCGCGATAAGCAGCAGTATGTTCTCCACCACAATTACAGCATTTTATTTTAGCTTCTTTTCCACATTTTCCGTACTCATGTTCTCCTGCACACCTTCCACACCTCTGTTTCCCTTTACAAACTGCTGCAATGTGACCGAATTTTTGGCATTTGAAACATCTCAATGGTGGAGGATTGTAGATTTTGACATTATAGCTTATGTAACCGATGAATACTTTGCTTGGTAATTGCTCTTCTTCGAATTTAATTAGCACAGATAAACTGTCAGATCTTTCTCCGTTTCTTGTTGTTTTTAACCGTTTTACTTCTTTTACTTTTGCACCGCTTATGTTTTCCAGAATCTCTTTTTCAGAAATTTTTAGAGGAACTCCTCCAATGACTCCCCTGCTGATCTTTTTGTTCTCCATTAAGCTGCACTGAACTCTTATCCCGTCAATTTTGTTGATCCGTATTGCTTTGCCTTGCTGGGCGCTGTCTCTGCAGTTAATTAGCAGGTCTCCACTGTACAGAATTCTGGCACCTTTGACTTCTCCGACAAGTTTATTGATGGTTTTTGTTAAGTGAACCGGATTCCAATTTGTAAAAGAGTCTGCCTGATTAACGACTTTGAATATGACTTTGAATTCATTTTGTTGTGCTGTGGAATGTATGGAATAATCATCACTGGATTGTTCTGAACTAGATTCCCCTTGAACTGATCTCTGTTTTTTCCGCTTTTTCTCATTTTTTGGTGTTGCTATCTTCCAACCTTCATTGTCACTATTTCCCTCTTCCATCCCACAAGAATCGCTTCCTGTTTCCTCACTACTCACGGCCCAGGACATTTCTCCATAAGCAGCTTCAAAACACGCGCCATGCACCAAACGACCATCCACATGCAAATCCAATTCATCACAGGCCTTCCCTGCCTCGACCGACGTCGCTAAGTAGTATTTACATGCCGGGTCGTAGAAAAAGGGATGCTTTTCTAGTTTTCCGCGTCAGCCTCCAAGCCTGATTGTGGCTTGCATTGATTGGTTAGACCACCTATCAATCATTAAAATAACCAATCAGAAGCCGCCACGACCGGGACATAAAGTCCAACCACATGTGGAAAATTCAACTAGCCAGATGGTTTTTAATATATATGTATTTTATATTTTTGCAATAAACATCTACTTAAATTTTTAAACAAATGTAATACATTTTTTTTGTAAAACACAATTAAAAGTTAACGACGAAAACTATGTTATCGTTTTACTTCCGGTGTTGACCGGAAGTAAAGCTATCGGTTCTACAGCTGTCATGGCGGAGAAGAAAAAATTTTTGGGGCTGCCTCTGTTGCTTTTATTAATTTCTGTGAGCCTCCTGCACTTATTCATTTGTCCTTTCACTAAAGTCGAAGAAAGCTTTAATCTACAAGCGACGCACGACATACTATATTACAGGCTTGATTTTGATAAGGTAAGCAGCATTTCAGTGATGCAGAAGGTAAATCACACGCATGCGCACAAGTTACAAACCACAACTGGTTTAAAGTGACAAATGGAAGAGAAATCAGTCTTAATTCTTGGTTTAAATAATAAAAATAAAAAAAGTGAAATTGCATAGAAAATAATTAATGTAGTCCTATTTCAACCAAGTTCAAGTTAACTGATTTTTACATTTTATTTCAGTATATGAGGAAAAAAAAGTGAGAATTTTGACTTTAATCTCAGAATTCCGACTTTAATCTCAGAATTCCGTCTCCAATCTCAGAATTCTGACTTTTTTTCTCAAAATTCTGACTTTTTTTCTCAAAATTCTGACTTTAATCTCAGAATTCCGTCTCCAATCTCAGAATTCAGACTTTAATCTCAGAATTCTGACTTTTTTTCTCATATTATACTGAAATAAGACGTAAAAATCAGTTAACTTTTGTTTTCAGTGACCCTAATCATCTTCAGTAAACCTACTATTTATCTATATTTGAAATAAACGTAATTAGGAAAAAATACATTTTTCATAATAGCTAATAATATACCTGTTTAACAGATACATGTAGTAGATTGCGTAAAACTTAATTATTAATAATTAATGAATAATATAAAGCTAACCATATAAATTTAGCTCAAGCAGGAGAGCTATAAAACTAACAAATATATATTATAGACTTTGTTTAAAATAAATATTTTTAGTTCAAATCAGCATCAGTAGATCCTAAGTTTTACAAAATGCAGAGCTCAGAAATTGGCCCCCCAAGTCAGGTCCCTGCATCTCTAAATACTAACAATAGCTTTTTTAGTGTTTAATTGGTTTTAGGGTGTTTGAAACTATAAAATATTCTTTCTGTCTCTTAGTATGACCATCATGAATTCCCTGGAGTTGTGCCACGTACTTTTCTCGGTCCCCTGTTTCTCTCTGCACTCAGCTCTCCTGCTGTTTTTCTATCCTCTCTCTTGGAGGCCCCAAAGTTTTACACTCTGCTTATAGGTAAGTAAACCCACAGTCAATGACTGCTTTAAACTGACCTTTGTAAAGCTCTTTAATCTGTGTTCTGAACAGTCCGAGCCTCGCTGGGATTTTGCGTGATCAGCGCTTTATGGTTCATGCAGAGAGAAGCGAGGAGGCAGTTTGGCTCCACAGTTGCAGGGCTTTTTTGTCTGACCTGTGCATCCCAGTTTCACCTCATGTTTTACAGCACCAGGACACTCCCTAATGTCTTTGCACTACCGATAGGTAAGCTGCACTAATAACACATCATTACTGAGGGAATCTTGTTGAATTTCTCAATTTATGAGTGAAATATTGCTTCTCCAGTTCTTGTAGCGTTTACGTCTTGGATGGCTCAGAAACACGGCTGGTTCATCAGCCTCTCTGCTTTGGTCATCATCGTGATCCGATCTGAGCTCTGCATCTTGCTAGGCCTCATGTTGCTGATGTCACTGCTGAGCAGGAGGCTAGGGCTGCTGCAGCTGATCTACTACGCTGCTCCTGCTGGACTCTTTTCCCTGAGTGAGTGCAGACGTTACAGTGTTTACTGAGGTGGACAAATCCAATGGCCACTTAAAATGAAAAATCTTTGCAGCTTCCTTAGAAAACAGACAACATACAGTATGACGGGTCCTCTGCTGTACCTAACAATAGACAGAAGTTGTTTTAGGTTGTTTTTGCAGATATGCAGCTTTATTTTTTTAATAAAGGATACCTAAAAGATGCTATTACTAAAAGTGCATTAGATTAAAGCAGAAATTTGGTTTTTGTTTCCTTTTTTGCAGCTCTGACAGTGGCTGTTGACACCTTCTTCTGGAGGAAGCTTTTGTGGCCTGAGGGGCAGGTGCTGTGGTACAACACTATTCTTAATAAAAGTTCTAACTGGGGAATATCCTTTTAGGAAAAATAAGTCAAGTTGTTTTATGTTTTTTTGCATTTTTCAAATCCTGTTATGCAAATACACAAAAGTAACTTTCCTCATCTTGACAATCTGTCCCCAAGTTCTCCTTAACCCCTCTCTCTGTTAGACCTCGCCCTTTCTGTGGTATTTTTACTCCGCCATACCCCGTGCCCTGGGCTGCATGCTGCTCTTCGTACCCCTTGGCCTCCTTGACAAGCGAATAAGACTGCTGCTGCTCCCCACAGTGGGCTTTATCCTCATCTATTCACTGCTGCCTCACAAGGAGCTGCGTTTCATCATTTACACCTTCCCTGTGCTCAATTTGGCAGCTGCACGCGGTTGCTCATTTATGCAAGTTGAACTTGATTGTGGGCAAGAGAAAATAAAATAACATTCACATCATGTTGCCAGTATGTTTATTTCCTTTTTTTTTTTTTTTTTTCAGATTGTGCAACTACCAGAAATCCTGGATGTACAAACTGGGCTCTGCAGTTGTAATTGGCCAGCTGTTAATCAACTCAGTGTACACTAGTGTTAGTCTGTACGTTTCTCACCACAACTACCCAGGAGGCCGAGGAATCCAGGAGCTCCACAGGCTACAGCCCGCCTCAGCAGGTCAGAATCACTTCTGGAGCTTTAGCAACTTCTCAAACCTGATACCACACCATTTAATCTAACCCCTTATTATCAACACATATGTTTTTAATGCTGTGAATAGAGATTAAAAGCACAAATATGTTTCCCCCTCCAGATGTCTTTGTTCACATTGACACCTTTGCTGCTGAAACAGGAGTTTCACGCTTCTTAGAGCAAAACAAAAACTGGAGGTAAGTGATGCATAAACAGTTCCCTGGAATTATTGTCCCCTCTCCTAAAGATGTGTAAAAATGTATTTAAATGTATGGTTTCTATGGCAGAAGCACAATTTTACACAAAACGTTATTCAAAACAGATTGTGCTGTGATATATGGACCTCTGAAAATCCCCTCAGACCTGGGAGAAAATAGTTGCTTAAAGAAATGTATCCAAAGAACCAAGTTCTTCTTAGAGATTTTTTTCTTATTTATAAAGATTGCTATACATGTTTTCCCATTTTAAAGAGGAGCCTAATAAAAATAAGTTATATTTGTTCCAAGGAAAAAGTTTTCTTGTTTCCCTATTTTGTATTGAGAAACAGTGCTGTCACAAAACCACATCCCACGATTAGAAGTTGTTTATCTTCACTCTTACTTTGTTGGAAATAAACCATTATTTCTAATCATTTTGTGTTTGACTAAAAGCACTCAGAATTTTCTGCTATTTTTTAAAAATATCTAGTATTTTATATCTTTTTAGATTTTTATAATGCAAATAGGTCATATTTTAGTATCACTTCATAAAATGGGGCCCCTCTTGCTTCACATTATGTTGATACTTTTTTTCAATTCTACAGATATGACAAAAGAGAAGACATAAGCACCACAAGTCCTGAGACCCAGACGTACTCCCACTTGTTGATGGAGGCTAACGTTACCAAGATACAGCAGCTCCAGGACACTCATAAGCCTCTGGCCTTCATTGAGGCTTTCAGCAACATCGCCTTCAGCGCGGCTAACTTCCCGCCCATCAGAGTGCATCTGAGGAGGAAAGCTGTGCTGATGGAGAGAAAGAGCTGGAAGCCCAAACCGAGACACACATGAACTGAAATTTGATGGTTGAATTTTCATTTGACCAAATATATGATGCTGCTAGGATATATTTTTTTCATGTGTCAAAATTCAACATAGATCTACCCTAGCAGACATCATCTATTGTTTACGCCAGATTTATATATTTTGTAAACTAATATTAGCGAATAAAACCACACAGTAAGCAGCTTAAAGTGTGTTGTCTTTTTTTGAGATAAAAAAGATGTTTAGGTTCTTGCCTGCATTATTTTAACTATGTCTTCATTTAGTAAAAAAAATGCCAAAGCAAGTTGTCTACTACAGTTTTAAATAGGTTTAATTGGATGATAATTCACACAGGAGCAGGTGTGCTACCCATGTTCTTCCTGATTTACACACTGAAAAAAAAAAACACGCTTGTTTTTTGTTTTGTTTTCAATGGTCCATATAAGCAGCTTGAGGCCCAAACCAGCCCGAACAAAATTTACCAAGATTTCTTTTAACTTAAAAAAAGATAATCTGACAAGATGTCAAAGAAAAAAGGACCCAAATTAAAAACTTCCTGAGTACTAGTTTCACCTATCTTTTTCAAGCTGGGAGCACGGTTATTTAAATTTCCAAAAATAATGCTGGAATTGGCAAAAATCCCAACCTTGTCTTTTTCCTCACAGCATGAGCTAATATTTCTAAATTAATCTGTTTACAGACATATTGTTTGCTAAGGTTGCATTCTCTTCTAAAGTTGTATAAAGATTGTGATCTTGCTCCTGAAAAAATAATTCCTTCAAAATCTATTTTTTTTAATGGAAATGGTTTAGCCTAACACAAACATAAAGAGGTAATACAAGAATTTATAAATAGGATTTACTGAAATGCTTTAGCCCTTAAAATTTCCTAAATACAAACAAAACCATTAAAACAAAAAGTATAATTTGCACAATATTTTGAGACTGGTGTTTAAAAATAAATAAATATCAACTTTTCCCTTAAAGGTGAAGTTTCTTACAAAAGCTAGCATACAAAATAAAAGAAAACTGTTTAAGTAAAACCTTTATTTACAAATGACCACAAAATTTTGATTTTTCCAGTCTGAATGCTAAAAGGTTTATCAAATTAGGTTCAGAATTCCATTTCTTATAAAATGTACAGTACAGTTAATCAATAATAAACCCATAATTTAACCCCCTGGAAATAAACTTAAATTGTGCTTAAGAGACAATTGGTATATTCCAAAGAACCCATCCTATTCTGAAAATACAACACCATGATACATCTCATTAAAAACATTTCAGCGAGTAAAAATAAGAAAAAGACTATTTCTAAGTGACAGTACCGTGCGCCTCAAATTTACAGAGAAAAATTAAATAGCGTTAACTTATGTCTTTCAGTCACAGCATTTATTCTTTTGGGCCATGTTTTCATACGAAAAAAAAAAAATCTTTGTATCTTAAATTCCTAAGAAGAAAAATTATCCTGATGCAATCTGCACAGTTCTATAATATTTACAACATTTGACCAGAAGTAGTTTTGGTTAAGGCACAAGGAGAGAGTAGACGGACAAAAAACAAAACAAAGAAAGGTTACTAGCAAACACATCATTACCAACCCCCTACAACTATTAAAAAAACAAACAAAACAAAAAAGCCAATCCCCTCCCTCCCTGATACACTTCTCACTGAGACATTTCATCATAACAGCTCAAAGTGTTTAACAGTAGTACACAACACAAGAAACCCTCAATCTGGCCTTTGCATTAAGAATCAGTGTATAAGTCTCTATCTTACAATTAGCTCCACATAACCCCACCCGTTTCACAGCTATGCAACTTGGTCCTTGATAGAACGGTTTTCAAGTTAATGCTCAACAATGTTCAGTACTTAAAATAGATCAAAGGGAGATTGACCTTAAGAAACAACAGTCCTTCTAAGTTGTCCAGCATGGGCCTGGGCTGGTTTAGAGCACAGTTCATGCTGGCAGTGCTGAACAGTGTCTCAGCTGGGACAATGCTGGGAGGGCAGCCCACGTAACGGGCGGCTACTTTGGCGAGATCAGGCCACAGGAACTTCTTCAGGTTCCAATAGTCCAAGGGGTCACAGCCTTGATCTAAAATGTCCTCCTCTAAATACTCCAGCACTGCCAGCTCTGAGGACTTGGTCTTCTCTTCTCTTGTGTTTTGCCTGACTTCAGGAATCAAGGACCAGAGGTTGTCTCTGTTTGAATGCGGGATTTCAGAGGAAACTGTGTCCTCGCTGCAGCCGTTGGACAGGACAGAGTTAACTGGAACTGAGGTAGAAGAGGACGAGTCTAGCTCCTGGATCAGATCTTGTTTGCAACGTTCAGCTTCTTCTTCTGTGAACAATGACGTTTTGTATCTAGGGTCCAACATGGTGGCCCAGGTGTAACGCGGGTCATGCAGAGTTTCCGACATCCTGCTCATCATTGCTTCCTTTAGAGACATCAGCATATTGTCTATGCCCACAGTTTCATCAAATAGGAGATCTATTTTCCTGTTAAGGATGTGAATGAGTGGTATGACCTGTCCCAGAGAGGCAGTGCGGTTACTCAGCTCTGTGTAGGCAACCTCAAACGGTTTCAATGCATTACAGACAGACAGCATCACCTCCCACTGGTCACAGCTGATTATCTCCCTAAAATTGCACTCTATCGACAACTCATCAATGGCCAACTTCTGCTCCACCAGCCGTTCCAGCATGAAATAGGACGTCCTCCACTTGGATGGGACGTCCTGGATCAGCTGGTTCTCCGGCAGCTGGTGAACCTTCTGAAGCTCTGCCAGTTTTTCCTTTGCCGTCGCCGAACGGTGGATCCGTTCGCAGATCTTTCTAGCCATGCTCAGAAGGTTTTGAACCATTCTCTGGCTTTTTATGGCTTCACTTACAATGAGGTCTATAGTGTGGCCAAAGCACTCCACAGTAACATGGCCGTGCTCCTCAAGGGTATTTTTGATGGCGGCATTATCTGTTAAGGTGATCCCCTTCTTCAGCCCCGGTGAAGTGATCCAGGAATCCCACAGGTACTCGAGCTGCTTTGGGATGTCGTGCATATCTTGATCACAATCTATTTGTGAGACACTTAGGAGAGCAGAACAGTGGAAGTCGTGACCTTGAGGTCTGATACTTGACTCATACGTTGCCCAGTGGGCGGTAAGGGTCAGGTATTCCCTTGTCTGGCTGCTGACCCAAATACTCGTTGTGAAGTGGACAACCCCGCCTTCAGCCTCTTTTAGATGGGTCAGCACAACATCTTTCACCTTTTCATAGATTTCTGGTATGGCAGTGCTGGTAAAATAAGAAGAAGGTGGTAGCGAATACTGAGGCTTGAGGAATTCTAACAGTCTGTAAAGTCCAGAATTCTCTACCATGGCTGATGGCTGAAGATCCAGTGCGAGCATTTCCGCTATAAGCCTGGTGATCTTTTTGGCAACAGGATGGTTTTCATCAAATCTCTCACAGTTTTGCTCTGGCTGATAAAAGGGGGTTTCCACCACCTCTTGTTTAACGCGAATTTCAGCAGACGGCACATCACCTGAGATAGCACTGTTACGCTCAAGGAAATGTTCATGGAACCTTTGCATGTGCCTGAGGAGGCAGCTTGTGCCGAGGTTCGTAGTCTTTTTCCCCCTGCTAATTGTACGGCTACAGTGCAAACAGACCACCTTGGTGGGATCAGAGACGGAAATGGAAAAATGATTCCACAGTTTTGATGTCTTTTTGCTGAAAACTGGCACGAGTTGGGGTTTTTTCTCAGGACCGTCAGTTTCTTTGGCTGAAACTGAATTTGAGGTGAGGGGCTCGTAAGGTTGAGGGGAATATTTCTTCTCGTCGAGGCATTTTTGGTTTTTCATAATGTCTGGGTGACGCCTCACGAGATGCCTCATCAGGCAGCTTGTCCCAAACTCGCCCCGCTTGCCTCGACTAATGACACAAGGGCAGTAACGGCACAGTGCTTTCAACTGGTCAACCGGTGACACTATGAAATGGTGCCAAACTTCAGATTTCACCCGTTTCATAATCTTCTTATTCTGCTGGAAAACCAAACGATCCTGCATGAAGCTGGGGCCTTCAGAGAGGTCAGATGGTGTGGAAGTTAGTGGTTTATCATCCCCCTGAGTTTTGAAGAAGTTAAAATAATCCTGCCCTGAGAGATGCTCTTCACGCTCCTCCTTAATGTCCATGCTTTCTTCTATGCTTTGGGGTAGATCGTCCGATATGGTTTCTGGTGATGAGATAAGAAAGGGTGGCTCTTTTTTTATGTCCATTACATCCTGTAGCTGTGAGCGAGGTGTCATTGAAGGAGGATTCGTATAGGGTGGCGGAATGTGGTTGCCCTGTCCATTTTCCTCAATCACAACCTCTTTGTGGGCTCTCCACATGTGGCGGATGAGACAGCTTGTTCCGAGATCCTTTCCGTTTTTGCCCCTACTGAACTCATTCATGCAGTGGATACACACAGCTTTTGAACTGTCAGCAGGGGAAAGATAGAAATGCTTCCAAACGGCTGACCTGCGGCGGGAACTGGAGCCTTTTGGGGTGCCAGAAAAGCACTCAGACCCTCCATCTAATATATCTTCGACATTGTTGTCGCTGGAATGTGAGGATGGAAGGGGTAGAAAGTTGCTACTAACAATGTCGACATTAGTAATCGGTTCTAGTTTCGGTTCTAGTTTCAGTTCGACTTTGGGCAACACGTCTTTGGATGATGGGCTTGAATTTTCAGCTGAGGATGTGGACGGAGAGGTTTCCTTTGAGGCAGGAGTAAGAATGCTATTTGTTAAATCTCCATTTTTTGGTGAGCTTGGGGAGGGAGGTATTGATGATGAGGGGAAAGAAACAGGCAGGCTTGATAAAGATGCATCTGCTCCCTCATGTATAAGCACAGTGGGGTGAGCCCTTCGTACGTGCCTCATCAAACAACTTGTGCTGAGGTCTTTTTCGTTCTTGCCCCTACTGAACTCTTTCATGCAGTATAAACAGATTGCTTTGGTATTGTCCCGTGGTGATATGCAGAAATGGTTCCATGCAGCCGATTTTTTCCTGGGACTTCCCTGACCCCGCATAGATGACAAAAGACTCTGAGTGACGGCATCCATGGCAACATCATAAAGGGTGCTTGTGTAGCCACTTAATAAACTACTAT